TCTGCTTTTCTCACCAATTCACTTCACAACATTCATACTTTCATTGCATTCAAATATCATCATTTTCCATAGCTTTCTAGAGCCATTTTGTGTGGAGGTTGAGTTGTTCTTGAGCGTACTTAGTTTACTCATAATCTACTCTATAAGAGAGCCTCGTTCTTGAGTGTATTCCTGTTCTTAGACACTTTGAGAGAAAGTATTTCTCTCGGTAGATTCAAAGGAAGGGCTGTTTCCTTTGAAGGACTCGTTGAGGTTCGTGTAACTCGAACTCTCAAGTTGTAACGGTTTGTTAAGCACCCGCAAGCTTAACGAGATAGTAGTGTAGCTCGAGAGAGTATCTCGGGAGGCTGGATTAGCCACAAGTTGTGGTGAACCAGGGTAAAATTCGGTGTGCCTCTTACTCTTCTCTTTACTTCTCTTTTAATTTTTTAATTCCTGTGATTTCTACGATCAAACGCTATTCACCCCCCCTCTAGCGTTGGTCTATTATTCTAACAATTAAGAGGACAATCAAGGAAAGTGAGTGGAAATAAATAAAATATCTTGATTGGTAATTTGATTCCAATCAATGATATTATCCTAATCATCAAGATATCAACAATATTCCTTTTTTGTTTTATATTTCTAACACCTATGTTCCAAGCTGCTTCTCGTTATTGATTATCACCTTGCGTGTGGATATTAGAAATAATAGGATAACATGAAATAAGATTTTATTGTTATTTACGTTTCTTATTTTATTGTTACCATAATTTCTTATCCTACTTCGGTTAGAATTTTCAATTCCATAATTTTTTATATATACTAAAGTACGGAGTAATACTCATTATTCAATAAGACTATTTTATTATCATATTGTACCAAGCTATAATGTAATCTAATATAACTCAGTTTGTTTTAAAATGTAGCTTTGATATAAAAAAAATTATAACTTTTATTTATTTAAATTTGTAACTAAATTATTTGCAAAATTAGCATAAAAATCAAATTATTTACTACACCTTTTTTGATACTGGGGGAGTATATTCCATATTCCTCTATCCCTAATGAAGTTCTTGCTACGACTTACGAGAGTTATCACATCCGACTAAAGTTATTTTGAACTTAATTAATTTGAAAATTAATATACTCCCTCCGTTCGAATTTGATCTTCGGATTTGATTTTTCTTGGTCAAAGTTTGTATACTTTGACATTGATGTTGAAAAAAATAAATTGTGTTTCAATATAAATGTAATATCAATAGTTTCTTTTGAAACGCACTTTTGAAATATTAAAATTTTATAAAATATATGTATGTATAAATATCGATATTAGTAGTCAAAGTGTTACACTAAAAACTGTCAAAAACCAAATGATAAGATTAAATCTGGATGGAAAGAGAATTTATATTCTAAAAAGTTACTTTCTACAATAGATAGATGAGATCACGAAAAGGTTTCTGTCTTTTCTTTTTGTCTCAATTTGTTTGAGAAATGATGGAAAATTCGAATATTAAGAAAAAATAAGATTGTATTATTCATAATCATTTTAAAAACTAAACAAAAGAAAAATAAAGTAAGAATAAATGTGAATTACAAAAATATGACCAAATATGATGATTTGATCCAAAATAGGAGAAAAGACAAAAAATATTTTTTTAAGAGAAAAATATATTACTCCCTCTATCCCATAAAAAGGTTATGGTTCAATATTTCTTTTTTGTCCTCTCAAAAAAAGTTCAACTTTCCATTTTGAAAATAATTTGGGCCTCTAATATTTTGACTCTCTTCTACATCAGTATTAACTACACAATTTATTTATTTTTAATTTCTGTGTCAAATCAAAGGTGAAACTTTTTACGAGACGACGAAGGAAGCTAGTAGGACAGAGGAAATATTATTTCATCAAATAAATAATAAAAATTGACAAGAATCAAAATTTAATCTCGTGTGCTAAATATAGTAACTATATTTATTTTATTCTTCATTATGTGATTTTGTTTCTTTGTGTATATGCTTCCTTATTTAAAATATTCCTTCAATGTATTCCTAGGCGTAGTTAGGCATGCTATATATGCACCCCTTGTAATCACAATTCAATCAATAAAGAATTATTTCATTTTTCATGGTATCGGAGCCTCCGTAGGCTAATTCTCCCTCCTCTCTCTGTTTCGGCCCTCCTTGACAGCCTCACCACCGACGTCATCCACCTCCTCCCTCGCCGGCGTCTCATCTTTCTCTCGCCATCATCGCTGATTTAACTCAGCATCTCGGAACCAAACTATAAAAAGTGGAGCACGCTCTTTCTCCTTCTTGTTCGAAGATTCAATCTTCATGGATATCTCATTGGTGAAACCATCCTGTCTGGAGACAACGATGTCGAATGGGTACAATTCGATGCTCTATTGCAAGGTTGGATTCTTTCCACCATCTCCGATGATGTCTCAAGTCTGGTCACCACCTCATACTTCACCGCTGCTGATTATGGAAAGGTATCTTTAACCTCTTTCATGAAAACATGGCGGCTAGAGCAATGCAACTCGAGCAGCATTTTTGGAATACTACCAAAGGCACGAAAACCATGCTGATTACTGTCAAACCCTGAAAAATCTTACTGATTGTCTTGACAATGTGAATTCCCCAGTTATAGAACGCGCCCTTGTGATTCAACTTCTCCGAGGTCTCCCTCAAAATCTCCGTGCACAGGTCATCTTCCCTCAGTATCAACTCATATTTCCGTCTTTCCTTAAAGCCTGATCTGCCGTCCTCCTCCTTGAGCAAGACCAAATTGATTTGAATATACCCGATAATGCGGGTTCCACAGCCCTTTTGGTTGCCGCTCAAGCCACGCCAAATCACCATATAGGCAGAAACCCCGGACGCGGCGGCGGGTAGCAGTAGAACTGCGGGAATAGCAGTGGATGAGGCGGGGGCAGCGACTATGGAAGCGGTAGGGGTCGAGGACGAAGCCGCGATCGTGGACATGGAAGTGCGGATTCAAATCAACGGCAATCCTCTGGTTATGCACCCTTGCACTCATCCTACCCCGACTTGTTGGGCCCCAGGCCCCACTCACATCCTTACCCAGCCCAAGCCTACTACACCAACTCATACCCGTCAACCCATACCCACCAACCCATACCCGCCAACCCATTACCCGCTCAACTACCCGAATCCCCCTTCCCAGCATCCCACCCCAAACCTGCAAGGCCTCCCCAGCCCTCTACCTAGCCCAACCTCGTGCCCCACCTCCTCCCCTACCAAACTCCGACAGTCCTAGCTCACTATTCTGACACCATGACTCTACGTGAACCATCTTAGCTTATGGACACTGGTGCCTCTCACAACAATGCCTCTAACCCATGTACTTTCTCATGTTTTTCCTCTAAGTATATTTTATCCCACACATATCACAGTTTGTAATGGATCAAAAGTTAGCAATACTACCTCTAGCTCATGCACTCTAAACATTCTAAACCCCCTCTGTAACGCCCCAAAATATACCCTAGAATTATTAATGAATAAATAATCACTTAATCAAATTTGTTTTTATTAAAATAAATTAATGGGCTTTGGGCCGATATGAAATGTGTTTTTGCATCCAATATCAAAATCTGGATAAGTCTCATAGAGATAAATCCAGTATGTGGACTATTTGTGTGGTCTTGATTGGGAACCTGAGTACAGACCCAAATCAAGAGTAAATAAAGAATTTGTTTAGAATGTAAATATTGAAATGATTTCTTAAAATAAATCACGAGAATAACTGATATGAATTAAATGAAGGTACCTTTTGTGATAAAGGTTAATAAAACCAACTTTGACTCTGTCAAAGTCAAACATCCAAAAATATGATGTCGGAAAAAGTTTTACAAATAAATATGGGAATTATATCGTCGGATCAAGTTTAACTGTTTGATCGCAACGGTGCAAACGAAATTTCAATTCGGAGAAAGTTGGACCAAAAAGTGTACCCCAACTGGGACCAAAATCAGTCCCAATCAAGGAATCAAACAAACAGCGGGCTACTGTGCGAACGGCGCACTAGCCGATTCCCCGATCCTGGAAATCACTCAATCTCATGTCTTCTTCTTCCTCCTACTACTATATAAGAGGAACTCATCTTCCTCATTTCTTCACCAAAATCTACAATTCTTCCTTCTATCCTGCTGCTCTGAGTGAGGAGAATACACTGGTGCTTTCAGCTCTGTGAGAGGTTGCCGGAGTAGAAAGATATAGTCGCCGAAAGTTTCGTCGGAAAATATTCAAAACCTTCATTTACCTTCGAGGTAAGCTCGTAGATATATCTAATGACTAGAATGTTCGTATAGATCGTTTCTACGTTCATAAACGGTCGTTTGGTTGAGTTTTGTGTTTGACATGTTTGAATAACCAAGAATCATAAACCTTGAAGTTATTGTTAAAACTACAAACTAATGTTACCAAAATGATCTATGAACATTAGAGAACATTTCTATATAGTTAAATTGAAGTTTAGTGACTAAAAATGGAATTTCTGAAATTGGACCCGAGGAAG